CGAAAGAATTCCCATCGCCAAGCGCAACAGTGGATAAAAAAAAAAAAAACTTCGACAAACATAAATAGCATAAAATGCTTGTCTGTAATAATTTAATATTATGATTTAAATTGACAGGCTACAATACGCATGTACACGCACACGCACTCATACATATGGAAGTACTTATGTGAAGACGGTAATTTCAGTTGATTGCGTATTGACCACTTTTGTTGTTGGCTGTTGGGCTGAATTGCAACGCTGCCTGAGGCCCAAGCTCAACGTTGCACTAACTAACTCATCGTCGGTCCACTCACCTGCGATGGCAAAACTTGCTGGCCGCTGTAGCGCTGCGAGTAGGAGACAATCGGCGCGCCATACGGCAATTGCGGCGCCTCGCCATGGAAGACGACACGATCGCAGTCCATTGCAACCGCGCCCAGCTGCCCCGTCGAAGCGAATGGCACCACATTGCATCTGCGGAAAAATGAGCGAAATGATATAGTTAGCTGATTGCAGATATCGATCGGTAATAAAAATAAAAAGATAATAGAAAATAAAAAAATACCAAATAAGTATATACATTAAATTAAAAGAAAAAAAAAACACACACACACACAACTGAAATGCGATCGGCAGCTTATGCGGAAATCAATTCTCCAATTGGGTGTAGAATTCTTTTTCATTAGCTCAAAGTTTCATAGAAAATTAATGGCCGATATACTCGTTTAGCTGGTTGTTGGCGGCTGAGATTCTTTTTAATTTGTATTTGCCCATAAATACGTGAACATAGACGCATACACAAATAAAGGCATGCCTGCAGGAAAATTTCACGCAACTTATCAAATTATTTTATAGTAATATAAAGTCAGACTCCTCAGCATAAAGGCAACTAAAAAAAAAAAATTTTATTTTTTATCTGACCTCCACTATCTGTTTTTCTACGGGGACATTTATATATCAAAAATCTGTGCGTGTTCATATTACTCAACTATGTGTGTATGTAGTCTTAAATATGTACATACATATGTATGTGCATATGTCTGACTCACCTGCAGGGTAACCGCAATGCCGGACTGAGCTCTGGACATGGTCGCCAAGCTTTGATTTGTGACAAGTAGAGCAACAGCAGCAGAAAGATGTTCAGATGCCGTATTCGTCTCAGATGACTGTGTGGGTGCTGCATCTGCAAGAAAAAAAGAAACAAATAATATGTAACAGTTTCAAATATATTTATGTATGTATACACAGATGTGTACTAATTATCAAACTAACAAACTAAACTTAACAAATAAGGTGTGCATCTAATTATATATTTACTACATATGTACCTATGTATGTATGTATGTATGTACGTAGGCAATGCTGTTAATTTGATTTGAAATATGCCTTATTTGGCTATTACCTACGTGTATGTAAATATTTATTGCTTGTAAAATGGTATAGTTCAAGGTAACGGTTCAAAGAGGAGAAATATGGGAAATCTGTCAAAACCCTTTAATGCTGCTAAGGGTAATTCGACATGTAAGGTAAAAAAATCGAATAAAAGCACTTTTTAATTAGGCTAATATCCGATATCTTTTTAATGGATGGAATACATTTTTTTTGAAACTTAACGATGGCGCGAGTGGGCTGGCTGAAACAATTTTGACCAGGAAAATTTTAATTAAATATTCAACAATTATTATTATTTTTTAGCTTGCCCTTATTTGTTTAATGAAAAAAATATATACCAGATATGAAGAGGTAAGTAATACAAGTAACTTTCACTAACCTGTTTAATAAATAAATCGTATATCAAGACATAAGATATGTATAAGAAAACTCTCAAGTCTTAAAAAGTCACAAAAAAAGGAACAGTCCAGCGCCTTCGTCTTGGTCTGCAGGC